AATGCCTTCAGGATTATTCGTGGGGAGAAGATTATGATTATTCAGGTTATGGGGTTGACGTTGGTGATTCTGATTGATGTCTGTGTTGGAAATTGCATCAAGGTTTTGTTGTCTTGGAGTGATGCTGGCTGAATCTGAAACATCATCAGCATGACTGTGATGCATGCGTTTTGCAACAGGTTGTTGGCTTGCACCTGAAGTCTCCAGCGGTCGCCGGTGACTGCTCTGGGACGCACTACCATCACCTGCGGGAACGGGCATCGCTGAGCTTGGCACCTCGGGTTCTTTGACGGATGCAAACACCGTCATGCTAACACGGGCAGATTGCCCCTTTTTTCGAAGACCCCTTTGTGACAGGTTTTCCCAAGCCTCCCATTCATCAACATGCAAATCTTCAGTTCGGCGCTTGATGCAGATTTGTCTACGTAAAGGAGCAAATCCAGGTGGAATGGCTTTGTTGGGTCCCACATACCGATCTGTACCTCGACATAACACGACGTGGCGAACATGATGTTGAGGACACAAAGTCTGAACTTGTTCAAACAATTCACCTGCTTCAACAATTTGGGTTCCAACCCGTGGTGCAATGTGGTCAGCAACTTTCATCGCTGACAACCAGGTGACGGCAGCTTCCATGGGCTCAGCAAATCTCTCTGCAATGGCTTGAGGGCTTAATTTGCCCCCCACTCGACGGCGTTTGGTGGGATGATCATTGGTCGTCTCACCAACCATGGCATAACATCGCTGACCCTGGTCATGTAACATGATCTTGGCAACTTGCTTGGCAAACTTTTGAGGATAAAGCTCGGTGAACTGCGACAACTTCACTGTAACCCCACGTACCTTCGTGTTTCCAGCGATGTTTCTATGGTGGTGTTCACCATTACACAACTTGCCATGCAGGGCAACATGCATGTCCACGGATGTGGAGCAAACTGCCATCCTTTTGCGGATCGGTTCATGTGTCTGTGGATCTCGGAGATCCCCCACCTTGCACATGTCAAACTCATTCCAGAGGGTTCCTTGGAGAATCTCATGCATTCCAGGTGTTTTCATGAGAGCAGATCCTCGTGGTTGTTCCAAGTCAAAATGGTTATGATGTTCTTTCTGAAAACGATATAGAACCACTGCCAAAGAAATCTGCCAGAGTTGTTGCTCTCGTTTGTTCATCACTTGCTCCCACCCTTCAAGAGACCTATTCATGTTGAATTGACTCCACTGACACCATGGGCCACATTCGGGGCTCACCCATACATGTTTTGGCTGTTGAGTGGCTAGAATGGTGAAAAGACGTTTTCGGCCTTCCACAGTGTTGAGGTCTCCTTGCAAACGACCAAATCTTTGTGCTTTTCCTCCAAGTCTCTGCATTTGTTTGGTGAGTTCACTCTCCCCTGAACACATGACCTCGAGCAAATCTAGTCTCGGCTGCTGACATCTTGGCTTGGATCTTACTTGGACGACAATGTCATGCAGTTCTTTGGAAAACTTCCTCACATCTCGCTGGATTCGGGCTTTGAAACTGTTGTGTTCTTGACTAGGAAAAAATTCAAAATCCAAATCCACATTGTGATCATGCATGTGGACATCAGCAGAACAGGAACTCTCTACGGCTCGGTCTTCACACTCAGTTGACGTACATGCATGAGGACCTCCTGCATGGCCATCTCCATGTTCGTGATTCGACTGGCTAACTGCTTGTTCTCCATGGAGAGATTTCCCATCTGTTCTTCCACCTGTTGAATCTTGGCTGGGGCAGGCATTTCGAAGAAGGTCTCCACTGGATCCAGTTCGGAGATCTGATCCCATGCATCGGAATCGGCTGAGACTGAGGCTCGGCACTCCTTCATCTTCTCGGAGTTCTTGACCTGGTTCTTGGTCATGCTTTGGGCGATCTCGTGATCCAAGCGCTTCAAGACGTACTGGACATACATCTGGTGCTGGGACTTTGGGCTCTTCTCGTATGTCCGAATGAACCAATCGGTCCATGAGTGGTCCTCGAACACTTCCGGAAAAGCTTGTCCCACTTTGGCCTTGCCGAACGAGATTCGTTCTTTGGCCAGTTGTTCCAGTGTCATCTCCTGGATGCGTCCCATCTCGTCCTTGGACTCGATCTTCCTCTGTCCCTCGCGGTACTGAGACAACTTGGTGGCAACGCTGGACATGGTGACCGTCACTGATGTGCTGAGCGTCAGTGTCACACAGGCTACTGCTTGGTTGTGGAGAGCTCGGTTGAGCATCATGAAATTGACTGGGCATGTTCATGTGATTTCGATCGTTTACACTCTCTGGCATCAACCCTGTGGCATGCTGATTTTTCTGACATGATTTTCCACCTGTGACCTGAGTGACCTCTTCATGTGAAAACCCTGGACTCACACTCTCGGATAACTCTGGCATCGGGCTGCTGGCTGTGTTTTGGACTGGCACCTGAAGACAAGTAAATCCGGTCGCACTAGATTTCTGTACTGTTGGCTCTTCATTGGGTCCTTGCCAGAGTTGACTGATGTCCATGAGGAACAGATTTTTGCTGGATTGAGATACCATCAGTTCCTTGTTCAGTGATTTACTCCATAAAACTCCAGTATCCGTGTCAATTACCGCTTTGATCCCTTTGAGAAACGAACTTGACAACAAAAAAGGAGTCTTACCTGGAACAATTGCTATGCGAAACTTGGCATGACCCAGCGGCAACAACAAAGCATGTCTACTGGTGAGAGTCTGCTGGTTCCCAAACCTGAACGTCAAGTTGCAAGTGGTCCGCTGAATTTGGCTTTGGATCTTTTCAGGCAGGTTTTGAATCAGTTCCTTTACTTGGGCATCACCTATCACAGTTTGGGAAGCTCCAAGATCAACTATTCCTACAGTCCCTGCTGTTGCAAAATGTACATCACAGATCTGGGTGTCTACGGCAGCTTCGGGCGGGTGCAATGGCTTCAGAGACAGTTGCTCTGATGCGGGACAGGCTGGCACGGATGTCAGAGGCTGTTGCTCTAACTCTGATCGGATAGGCACGCAGGCTTCAGATGACTTCTTGGTCCTGTCGTTGCGTTTCCACTGGTGGTGAAAACGTTCGGCAAACTGAAGCTTATTCATCATCACTTTACCCCGGTTATCCCCAGTCCTATCGCTACCCCTTTGAAAAGTCATTACCCCAAAACAGACTTGGTCGGCTGGTTGGTCCTGATCATCCATGATGGAGAAATGAGCAATCTCCTCAGGCACTTCTTCGGCAATGACCACGGAGGTCGGGGCAACATTGGCTGCTGGATTGGAGGTGGAACTACTGGAATTTCCACCGGCACGTTGTGGGCATTCATTCTTCCAGTGTCCCTTCTGCATACAGATCCGGCAAAACGAATTGGCGATACGTCGTGCCAGAGAACCTGGTCCAGAGAAAGGCGTCTTGCCTTTGCCTTTCCCCTTACCCTTCTTTCCAAAACCCTTGTCAGAGCGGCGATTGATGGGCCAAAATCCACGGACTTTCACCCTCTCACTCAAACGTCGTCTGGCCTCCTGGTAATTGGAGTAGTAAGCAGCTAACTCGGAATCTGACTGGATTGTTTCGGAGATAGAATCTTCGAATTGCATCACCAGAATTGCATCCTCGTCATTCTCAGCGGCCAGTGTTTCAAGGATGTCATCCTCACACAGATCGTCTTGCAGGACGAAAGCTTCATGGTCAACCTCAGGGTCATCATCCATGTGCAAAGCAGTGTGATCATATGTTTTCCCGACCTTGTCTCGTCGGATTCCGGTGTAATCTTGAAAGAACCCTGATCCCAGGAGTCGAATGGCAGCGGTCACACTCTTCATGGTCAGGGAGCTGTCTGAGGCATCTTTTGATTCTACAATTACCCTCTTCTTGTCTTCCGGAGGCAATTTGCTCCCCCGGAGAACAATGTAGGCTTGCAGTTCACTGAGAGACATCTTGCGAGACAGCAATTCTGTCCAGATCACATCACACCTGGACAGATATGAATCGGAGCTTTCATCGGCCTTCTGGATGCTGCGAAACAGTGCACGTTCCGCCAGTTCAAACTTCTTCTCAAGAGGCACCTGTCCCCAGGTACCCCCAACCACTTCTACCAATCGCTTGATACCCTTTTCATCATTTGTGAGTACCTCTTCTCGGAGCAGCTGCAATTTCTGGTATGCCGTGCCTTTGCACCCCAAAATCAGTCTAGTAGCTAACTCATTCAACTTGGATGGTGGCCATGTATTCAAAAGAAGTTCAACCTTGCTCGTCCAGATGTCCACACTGTCTGTTGACGGATCAAAACTCGGAACCAGGCTTGCAAGCTCCTTTGGAACAAAAGAGGCGGAGTCCCCGCCTGATGTTTCACCCATTTCCAAACAGAGTTCACCTCCTTGTCCTTGTCCTCAAAGATCTTGGAGCTAGGTCCCTGCTGGAGCGGTCGACCAGGCGCTCCGCTACCAATCTCAAGATTGGTAGGGAGGCCGATCCTTGAGAGATACCCAAATCCCTCTCTATCCAACAACCGAAGGAAAAATCCACAATAGAATGTAGTTGAAAGATCCCTGATCTGTAAACTTCTATGTGCCCTGCACAACACCAAACGTAGCACCTTTTATGGCTGACAGCGAAGCTCAAAATGTCCCTCCCTCCGCTGGGCAATGCCTGAGCCCACCCTTGAGCTACGGAGAGTCAGGTAGCTGATGATCTCGAACAGGCATGCATTGAACATCATTGCTTTGAAAGTATGTATGTATGTATGTATGTATATATATCTATATATCATATGTATGTATATATATACAACATATACATATATATATATATGTATGTATGTATGTATGTATGTATGTATATGTATGTATGTATATATATATATATCTATATATCATATGTATGTATATATATATATATCATATATATATATGATATTCTATGTGAATGAATAGATCTGCATATATCCAGCCTTGGCTGCTTCAATAGTTTGACCCTCATGCTGCCCACGCAGGTCTACTTGGATCTTGGCATGCTGAAAGATGCCCTGTCCGAGGCCAGAACTTGGAGGACTAGGATGCACCAGAATTTCTGAATGGCTTCTTTCCTTGCTACTTCTTTCTTTCTACTAGTAGGGACAATGAGGAAAGATCCACCCATTTTACCATCTATTTTTATGGGCCATCTATTTCTATGGGCCATCTATACCATGGCTATGTTAGTCATAACCAGAGGGTATATTCCCATGTACTGATCCCATTGGTTTTACTCACCGGGAGGTGGGCGAAGCTCGGCTGCTCTTCCAGAAGCTGCCTCCGCAGCTGGAGGAAGCCCAGCTACTGCTGGAGGTGGCCATACCAACGCATGGAGCCATGGAAAATCCTCCAAAGGTGGGGGGTGGGTGGTTGGGGTTGGGTTGGTTGGTGAATCAATGGATTAGTTTTTGAAACCAAGAGGATTTTGGGACTTATAATACTATGGGGACTATTCATCAAAATACTATTTTTAATTAGTATAAAACCAATATAATTCCATTGGTATATACATATATATATATATAGATATTAGCATTTTATGGTGATACTATGGGGACAAAGAGTGGGTTTTTCTCAGGTCGAGCAGGTTTTACATGGTTTTACATGGTGAAGATTAGCCTCTGGAAAGATCCAGCATGCTATTAATGGGAAAATCAACTATGACTGGTTGGTGGTGACTGGAACCATGGAATTTTGAATGACTTTCCCATAATAATTGGGAATGTCATCATCCCAACTGACGAAGTCTTTTTTTTCAGAGGGATTGAAAGCACCAACCAGTAATGTATTATAATGTTGTTATTTTTATGACAAGTATTTCTTTATTTTCTTCTTCTTCTTCTGCTTCTCCTTCTTCTTATGATAGATATTTATAGATGCATATGATCTATAGCATGGTGTTTACAACATTCTACAAGAATTCGTCAGTAAATCTTGTAGTTGGTTTCCAAGAATGCTTCCAGGTTGGATAAACAACAGTTGGATGTTCGGTTTGGTCAACTGGAGTTGAGGATTCAACCTCGAACAAGTGTTTGCAACGAATTTAGTGGTTAACCGTTAACCTCTGGTTATTTATATAACATACCAGTAGCTATATGGACAATTGCCTCTTTATAAGTGATTTATGATGATTTGCTTCTAAATAAACAATCACTCAAGATTTTTAATCCTCCTTAAAAATCACTTTTGATGATTTACTTCTAAATAAAATCAAGATAAAGTAAACTTTATGGTAATTCTCCAAATCGCGACGGTTTTCACATCACTCAAGATATTTTTTGTACCCCCAAAATCCTCCCTGGTGGCATGGCTTTTTTTCTGGTGGTTTTTATGGGGTCAATCCCCCCATTTTCAGATAAACAGCCATTATTCATGGTTTTTCTTGACATATCTTCCATCATATCCCATAAGATATCCCTGTATTATCCCGATTTACTATGGTTGATTTAGTTTTAACTGTTTTAAACATCATTGTTGATTATTGATTTAGTTCCACAAGTATTAAAACATCCCCAAAACGCATTCCCAGAATACTGCTTACTTGCTTACATTTCAGTTTCCCAATCCCAACTAACCCCCCAAACCCAATTCAACCCAAGTCAATCCCATTAACCTCCATTAATTTAGATTACCCGCCATGAAATCCGATGAAACCTGCATAAAACCGACATTTTGGCTACATATCCCCATTCATTGTAGGCTAAGTCCAAGTCCAGCAGTCAGGCCGTGGCCATGGCAGAAGATGCCGCCAACATTTGCCGCAGCTTGGGAGATAGGCGGGGAGTGGCTGTTGATGGGGGCTGTTGATGGTGGTAAAACATCCAACATCATCCAACAAGTTTCTGTTTGATAGTAAAATACCCCACATATTTTCTTCTGATCGTTTTTTTTTTTCAATGGTTGAGACCTTCAAACATCAATGGGGTCGAAATTTTTCGGGCCACCCGAGATGGAGGCTTTCACAGGTAAAAATGCTTGGCCAGGGTGGGCGAAGCCAAAGCCTTCAAGGCTTGTGCAAAGGTTGGGTGCAGATCAGCAGATCGGCCATGGGGCGGGATTTGACCCGAAAAATCAGGGAAGAATGTGACGATTTTCATCAGGGAAGTGGGGAACATCTGCACTAAATGGAGGTTTCTAGCTGGGAAATTCATCGAACTACACATGAAACAAGGATACTGGTAAACATGTGGGCTCCTTTTGGCCAAGCCAAAGTGAAGATCCCAATTCTTCGGTTCCTGAAAGATTGCCCAAACATGTGATGTCATCCCCTACTAAACCATGGTTTCTGGGTGTTTAGCTGGGGATCCTCCAGGTTTGCGTGCAGAAGAATGACACCAAGTCAGCCTTACAGGCGGGCGACAGATGACGGTCACCTCACCTTTTGTTGCTCCATTCGTGTGGCACCCGAAACACAAACTTGTGGCCCATGATACAAAAAGTATGGACGTCCTCTTTTTTTGAATGTATCAGATGGATGTCTTATTTGTTTCTTCATTTTTTTTCTCCATTCGCATTGGTTCTATCCACATTCTTGCTGGTCAAATATCCATTTTCACTGTCACTATCCCAATCGATCAGTGTCCACGTCGATTGGCTCCGAATTTCTGCTTAAATGCCAAGCTTTGGTGGATACATCCCCTTGGACACTGCTGAAATTTCAATGTTGTCATTGGTTAAATCTCAATCCTTGCTGGTTGAACTGACATTTTCACAGATCAAATCCTAGCATTTTCCCTGAAATCCGGCTAGTTTTACTGCTCAACTCCCAATTTTTGCTGTCAGCGTACAGGTTTTTTTCCTGGTGACCTCCTTTATTTTTGTTGCTTCAACTCCCACTTTCGCGGAGCCCAAAATCTCCTCTAGGATGCACTCCCAGGCGTCTCGGCAAGCTGCCGCAGTGCTGTCCCGCGCACGGCTGGCGCGCGAGGAAGCTGAGGCCGGGGGTTTCCTGTTCGTCCAGAAGGGTCGCCCTGGTCATGATGTGTTGGGCACGAAGATCTGAGAAGGGAATAGAGAGGGTTTTCTGTTTTTCTCTTAAGTTTCTTTTTCTGTGCAGACCGATTTGATGATTTGGATATATTGGGATATATTGAGATTCAAAGGTATTGAAAGTGCAATCACACATTAATATGTATCTGCACAAATTATAGCGGACAAAAGAGGCAATGAGGTGGGGAAGTCAGACTTAACGAGGCCAAACTTAATTTGGTTTTCAGATTTAACAGGAAAAGCGAGGGAGCTCATTCTTCTTCGTTTTGCAGAGGTGGAAAGGAAACTTTTCAGTGTATGAAGAGTTTTTCCGGGTCTTGATTTATTTTTTTTAAAAACATACATGGCATATCATGGCATTATATGAGGACTTTTATCCAATGATGTTGGTAAAGCCATACGGCATACCTTTGTGATTGAGCCTGGCCTGGAGCCATGGAGGCCAGAGGCAAACTTGGCAGACAAAACGAAAGCGACACACACACGGCACCCAATGAACCCTGGGACTACCATGCCTAGTGCCTCACAAAGGTGAACAACTTTTCAGGAACCAAAAAGTAGTTTGTCACCCTGAAAACATGCATGTCATAGAAAAAATCTTTTCGGGATCTTTTTTTTTTCTCGTCTTGGTGTTTCCCTTGATTTGCGAATCACCGCTTCCAACTGGCTTCCAACTGGGAAGTACATTGAATTGATGACGGCCGACGTTGACATTGACAATCTTGTCCGGAGATGATTCAGCTGCGGCGGGGTCAACGTCAGCCGTGGACCTCTCGGGCCGTCAAAGATTCAATGTACTTCCCAGTTGGAAGCCAGTACTAAGTGATTTTCTATCTTTATGAACCGTGTCGGTTCATGCTGTTGATGTTACGCTCAGTTTGGTGGAACATCTTGGAACAAATGTCATGTGAAGGGGGAGGAACAGTAGATTTTCTACGAGAATCTGGTTGCAAATTCTAAAAGAACCACCCAAAACACTTCAAGAAATGTTGAAATGTTGTCTTACATAGATGATATTGCGGATGCCCTACTATTTGGTAATTTATGGTTGAAAGAAATCCAGAATGGATGAGGACATCTTTGACCAGATGGTTGAAGCACTCGTTGGAGCGACGACAGCAGTGTTGAAAACACACCATGTTTGACCCCAAATTTGAAGGAGAAAACATCCCAAGGTCAAAAAGCAAGTGTTCAGCACCCATTTTCTCAAGAACAACATGCGTTTCTTGAAACTTCCAGTAGGCGACACTTCCACGACGTGGTTCCACAACTTCAAGACTTGCAGGGTAGTAAGTGGCAGAGGGTACATCCAACTCTCGACAAGATTGGGGAGCCTGGAGGGTGATGCCCCAGTGGTGGCTCTTCGAATACATCTTGAGATAGATCCATCATGATCCATCGAAGCCTCATCAACCATCCCATTTTTCCGAAAAGGCTTGCTGTTGAAAAGACTATTGGGTTACGCAGGTTTGACTCATCTAGCATCTGCAGATGGCTATCAGGCTATCTGCCAATATTAGAACAGCCACGGAGCCGCTCCTCTTGCATCACTCTTGGCCTTATACCTATTGCATCCAACCTCCCAGAAGATCAAAAAGTAAAGATCAAAAAGTACAGATCAAAAAGTACAGTCTCATTCAAACTAGGTTTCTTTTTATTTTTATTTTTGTGGGAATTTTCTTGACTTAGAAGTCGTAAAACCTCCAATCTTTACCGGGGTCTTTCCCATCTTTGTGACCCAAGAGCCATGTCTTTCGGAGGCCTATCACCTGACGGCCAAAATTCACCTTTTGCGCCTAGAGCCACGGGAGGAGTGCAGCGGGATGGGTGGGACACACTCCGGAAGCAACGTTGAGATATAAATGGAATAGGTAAATCTATGGAATTATATATATATATATATATATATTCACATATACGTACATACATATACATTATATATATATGCACATAACACATATATATATATACATACACATAAACACACACATATATATATATATACATATATATATATATACATACTAATGATTACATAGTATATGCATGGGTGAATACATGGAATTTAGCATCACTGATACTTTCAGGCTTATGAAACCTTTAAATTAGGACAACTATGCATATATATAAGGACAACGCGCCCACAGGGTAAAGCAAACAGGACGACCAACCAGTTCCATCCAGCTTGGTAGCAGGCAGTGTCCTCAGCTGCCCAAGCGCTGACGTTGCTTCGAAGGTGCAGCAAGACATTGTTTTTTTTTTGTCAACGGCATTCCTGTGATCAGCTGGGTACCCTCTGGTAAACTAACATAGCTATTGAAAATGGCCATTGAAATAGTGAGTTTTCCCATTAAAAATGGTGATTTTCCATAGCTATGTTAGTTTACCAGAGGGTAAACTGAGCAAGGCCTGGGGATGAAGATGAAAAGGCCGCCGTCTTGGTGACGGCCTCCTACGCACATGGCATGGTTTGGGATGCCCAGCTCAGTTTCGGTGCAGCCTTGTTTAGGCCGTGTATTCTTGTAATGCGGCCAAGAATCCATTGCAATCTTTGGTTACCAGAGGTTGGGATATCATTTACATCTCCATTTCAAAAAAGGCTACCCCGTCTTTTTCTTGGTACATTTTAAGTATGTTCGTTGGTTCTCCCCACTTTTTTGGGGAACGCCCCCATTTTTTTCACAGGTCAAAAATTTCAGACTCTGGAGATGTGTCGACTTTGCAAAACCATCCATGGATTCGGGGTACCCTCTGGTAAACTTACAAAAAACTATGGACAATCACCATTTTCAATGGGAAAACTCACTATTTCAATGGCCATTTTCCATAGCTATGTTGAATTACCAGAGGGTACCCGTTATGACTTGACTACCCATTTTTGCTCGGAATGAACATGAATATCTCGTAATATCTCCGTGATGTTGTGGCTGAAAATCCACCATCCACCCAAAGGCTACGGTATGAATTTCAATGCTCGTCCATTTTTGATCAGCTGTTGAAATCCATTTTTTTTTTGCGGTTTTGCTAGTGTGAAATCCTACGAATTTCATGTGAGACTTCCATTTCCGCTGGTATGATCTTACCCAATTTTTTGCTGCTTCAATGCATTTTTTCCGGGTGAATTCCCCACAATTTTCCTGCTCAACTCCTCCTTGTCATGAACAGTAAACAAAGTCTGCCAAAAGTCCCGCGATTCGCACGTGGTTTGACAGACTATTTTTATTAGTCTGTCTGATATGGTTATTATATACCTATGTTTATAATATTTTGTCTAAACCTATATCGATCTGCTTACAACAATTCACACCAGTTGGTTTAGAATCCTCATAACTGTAGATATAACCCCCATAAACCCAAACATTATTGGACTTGTGAACCAACTTAGCCAACTATGGGGCGGCCATCCAAGGCCATGGAATACGATGGTGCTGTGGGCACCGCCAGTGAAGCTGTGGACCTGTGCCGCCGCACGGGGAACAAGCGGAGGCAAGGCGGCTGTGGGGGGAAACCCAGTTGGGAAGGGGACAAGTTGCCGCAGGTCCTTAGTTTTTCCAATTTATTTTGGATGCCCTGATATAGATGTTCCATATGTTTTGGAGACAGGGAACCAGGATGAATCATGATTCCTAGATTCTTCGATTTTTTTTGTGGGACCCAGGATGTCATACAGGAATGGAGAGATGTAAGATATGTTTTAAAGTTTTTTTGATTGGTTGTATAACTTTTTGGTGGTTGACTTGTGGTTAAACTAGCGATACACTGTGATATGAACTCTTACCATTCTTCCGCTTCGAAGCGGCGTTCTCTGACAAACAGAAAAGGAACATCATTCATGACATGCAAATAGAGATATATAGAAGAAACAAAGATGCGACACAACAAATATGGGGGAAAACTAAAAACAGGTGGAAATAGAACCGGACCGACATATTCAAAAACATGTGGATACAATTTGTAGAATCGGGAACCTTGGGCAGCCAATTGTGTGGCATGTGATCCATTCAACTGGATACTACAGATGGGACGGTTGGAACCCGTCGCGGGGTTTTTACAGACGACTTGGTACCAGGTCTGTCAAAGTTTAACAGTGCACTGTGTACATATCGTACATATATAATCATATATATATATATACACATATAATATAGTATAATATAATATAATATAATATCATATAATATAATATACTATAATATACTATAATATAATATAATATAATATGATATGATATAATATAATATAATATAATATACTACAATACAATATAATATAATATAATATAATATGATATAATATAAGTTAATAATAATATATATATAGTCATACAATCATATATAAGATATAACCACTCCAAGCACCACAAAAATTCTTCATTTTTCATCCAATGGCGCTACCCCCCGTGTACCACCAAGCCGCTGGTGGTTGAAACTTCCGCCCCAGCGATACCTGGGTCCAGGTTGAAGATGGCCATGCACGCTCTGGCCGAGGGATATCTCATCAAGGGGGACTATGGTCAGGTGGCCACCGGAGAGCAAGTGACCGGGGATGTTTTTAGGGAAACTTGACACAGGACGACAACTCAGGGCCCTATTGAAAAAAAAGGGAGTAAACACCGAAGATCACCGAACTCATGTGCTTTGGATGCCACAATTTTCCGAGCAAAATGCATCTATATTGATGTCCATAGAAGCAATTACATTCCCTTTCATATCCCAGAATATTCCCATAGGGCAAAACACATTCCCTATCATTAGGATCATATTTCAAATATTTCCATGCCACAATTTTGGATCCAAAGATTGGACATCATATCCCCACTATCCCCCAAACCACCTTTATTTGCCATATCCAACCACGACGTGGCAGATGCCGCAGGCCTTAGATCTAGCGGAAGAGGCCCAGCACAAAGATGCCCAGGACAAAATCCTGGAGGTGTCGTCATCACCGCAGGGGTTCCACTGGGGTAAAGTTTGTCGATCGTCAAGTCGAATCACCACTGGAATTTTCGAGGTGGTCTAAGACCCGGAGAATGATCAATTTTTAGTGGATGGTAGTCTTCATGCAGGATTAGTGCCGGAGTGTGTAGACATACATACATGTATGTAATTGCTTGTAAGTTTTGGTTGAGTCATCCCACTTTCAAGTCAGGAAAACATGTTCAGTTTTACCCTCCTGTTTTCTAAAACAATCATCGGCAGTGGAAAATCCCTCATGAATCCATGAAGATATCATATCAAGATGAAGATCTTTTTGACAGACGATTGACTCATTTCCTTCACCAGATTGCCGCGTGTTTCCCCATTTTTCGAGATTTTCGTGGACCAACTTGGAACGTTCCCACGAAAAAGGCCAGGGGTCGAAAAAAAATTGTGGCGCCGAAGCCGGCAGGCACGGCTGCTTGAGGTCTCCTGTTATGCCAGGCTCGTCCATGATTGGGTTTACATGGCTGCAGCACATCCTAGATGTATAATTATGTATATATATATATACACTATATGTATATCTATATGATATATGATATATATATATATATATACACTATATGTATATCTATATGATATATGATATATATATACACTATATGTATATCTATATGATATATGATATATATACACTATATGTATATCTATATGATATATGATATATATATATATACACTATATGTATATCTATATGATATAGGATATATCTATATGATATATCTATATGATATATGATATATCTACATGATATATGATATATATATATATCTATATTATATATGATATATCTATGATCTAAATATCCATTATCTACTATGATCTATGTATCTCTATCCATATATTTGGTTCATGGAGATTTACAAGACTTGACTGATGCTTAGCGCAGGCTAGGCTGGTCCTCCTCCAAGAAGAAAGGCCTCCGCGCCAACGTGCGCGACATGCTGCAGAAGGCGCAGGTGGAGCCTCCAGCTGCCGGTATCCCTCGAAATTTAGCTCTTACATAGGCTTTATGTATGGTAGGTACCACGAATTTAGGTACCTGAAATTGCCATGGATTTTGTAGCAAAATGATTATCGAAGGCTATTATCCAACCAGAATGGGAGCATGACGGGGATATCTTAGGGCTTCTTTCATTGGTTGATCCCCAAACATATCCCCCTCTGGTAATGTCACAGTTTGCGAGCTGGAACATCACCATGTTGAATAGGTCAATCATCGAAGTAAAGGGGCCATCTTCCATAACAAATGCTTAAATTTCCAGGGGGTATAGCAATGGAGATTTGGCTGGCCATTGATCATGGTGATGTTCCCTGGTTGCATTGCCATTGATCATGGCCGAAAAAAAATAACACATTGGATGCTTACTGTTTTTCGAATGCCGAAACAACTGTTTGATGGCGATGGGTCGAATTTGGTGCCTTTCTTATTTGGATTATATAATTCGATGCTGGGTTGGTGATAGGAAATCTATGTTGGACACTGTCAAAACAGGGGTAAACGCTGCAGACTTCTCCTTGAACCAATTATGGGATTAATGTTTTTTTTGTTTTTGTTTACATATTTATTTTTTATTTTTTGAAGTTGGATGATATAATGCTACACGCATATATATATATACATACTATATAATAATAGTAATAATGATTTAATAATTTAATAATAATAATACTATATAATAATATATAATAATAATATATAATAATAATATATAATAATAATATATAATAATAATATATAATAATAATATATATATATATACAATAATAATATTATATATATAATAATATATTATATACACAATTGATACACATAATGTTATATAATAATATTGAACATTATCAAACCAATATTTGTTGTTTTTTCGCGGCTTACTATGTAAACATGCCTAGCAGTGCTTGTTGGCGCTTCATCTCCAATCGCAGGCTGCCAGCGCGATTCTAGTGGCTGCTGGAAACAAGTGACTTGGCATGGTGAACAAAGTCTCGCCTTGAAGCCTTGAATGGTCAGGTTGTCCGTAAATATACAGACACACTATCACATAGTCACATAGCCTGTAATACATAGTCATATACTTATATGATCTTCTATAGACTTTCCAATCTGAATGAATTTCGGATCATGTTACACACAGATTGGAAATTCCGATTGTATTCAGTCATGGTTACAATTGGAAAGTCATCCAGCAATGTTATACCCATTACACATAAGTCCACCTAGACTCCTAGACTTAGTTCAATGGCCATTTTAGGAACCTAAATTGGAGGTACACGGAGGGAGCTACCATATATAAGGCCTATTTTTCAGGCCTAAATTTCAGGGAATATCCCCACAAAATATGGCCGGTACTAACGTACCTCCATCAATTGGATCCTGGAGATCTCCCATTGATTAGTCGAGGCGACAGGAGGCCGATGCGAAGTTCTTGATGGGCAAAGTGCAGCTCCAGGTCCCTTTTGGGCGTAGTGCTGGGCATAGCGGCCGACAAAGTTACGGGACGTGTGAAGGAGAAAAAATATGGGATGTACCTGGAAAAAACAGGTGGAACAATGGGAGATATAACTTTGTTAAATGGCATAAATTTGGGATGTACATATATGTACCAGGTAAATCATGGTGATATTTTCACAAACGCCAACATTTTGGGCGTTCGTTGAAAAAGGCCCAGCAACATGGCGATTTAAGCCAAACAAGTGGGAGATTTCCACTGGGATTTACAACCAAGCGTGGGATACAATGGGATATATATATATATGATATATCACCACAACTATGATATTTGAGGTGGTCCATGTTGGTCCAGAAATTGGGTATGCCCCCTTTGCCATTTGAATTTCGAGAGTTCGATTCAACGTTTTTGAGCGGTTACTGTAGGGGCATTCCGCAAGCTGGTTTGATATGGTTGAAACAATACCCTCTGGTAAATTAACATAGCTATGGAAAATCACCATTTTCCAGCTGGGAAAATCCACTATAAATGGCCATTTTCAATAGCCACGTTAAACTACCAGAGGGTAATGAAACCACCTAGTTTTTTTATGGTTTATTCCACCCATCTATGGTAAACATGGGGATGCTTTACTATTGTTTTAACCACATTATCCATGTTTCTTGGAGATAATTACAGTGACAGATTATTGGAACCTACTCTGAACCAACCACATGGAAAGACAGAGACCATCGTAATAGATAGGAACCCCATATTCCACCTTGAGCACTATGAAGCCAGACTAACCATTTTTTTCAGCCAGAATAACATAGAATCACCTTTATTAACCCGTACATTTTCCATGATTAAGGATTATTAAGCCATACATTTTCCATCAAAACTGACCCGGGGTCGCAACCGGTCGTGACGCAAGCGATACCCCAGTGCTTCACCCCAGTGAGGCCGGCAATCTGCATGCTGCGATCAAGGAGGTGCAGCGCCCGCTTACGCGATCCGTTGATGAAACGTGGTCTCCGTTGAAGTTGAAGAGCGTCGACAAAAAACTCAGGTTTTGAGGCTTTAGCTTGCATTTCTATTAAATTATATCAATTGTCAACTCGAAATGACATATGTAAATGGTTTCTCAATATATGTTTTCAATATGTAAAGGCAGTAAGGTCAACCTCCCGTCCCCCCGACAGCATCTGACAATCGTTTGGATGATTCGCCACGCTTGCTCTGCATCTCGATATACACACAATTTATGTGCATATATATATATATATAAATAAACATACACACAGCGTGTGTATATATGTATATACTGTATATATACATATACACGATATTACACGATATGTGGATATATACATGATCGTACACAGAATAGGCATGGTCATTATCTAAATAGCTTGAGCAGGTCACAAAAGCCTATGATGCCTATGGAGCTTTGAAAGATGGGTCTGGAGCCGACAGTCTTCGGTTCAGTTCATTTCTTATGCTCATCCACAATATCAATTGGAGATACCCAGAAACATGGGCTAAACTTGGATTGTATATGCAGAACATATTCCCCAATCATGGTTGATTTTATAGGGTTTTTTTGCACCTTTGGCGGTAAGGATGATTCCCCGTCATGGCTGTCATGGCTGAGGCAAGGCGTTGGATGGACAGGATTGCTCTATGCTGCTTGCCTCCTGAGGCCGATGGCGATGAGCGCGATGAGGATATGAATGTGAATATGGACCATGACGACAAGGATGATGATGATGATGATGATGATGATGATGATGATGATGATGATTCATCATTATCATTTATCATGGTTATTGTTGTTGTTTCGATGTTCTTGGCTTTTCCACAGCGTTGTTTCGATGCCGCACGACGCGAAGTTGATACGGTGAGGTCTCCCGCGAAGCTGGTGGCTGGCCGTGAATCCGCCGTGACCTCGAAGGAGCTTGACCTGTCGGCGTTTGATGCATATCCAACGTTGGTAAAATATGCGTGATTTGGTGTGTGCAGATATGATATGCATATATATATATGATATATATATGATACACACACATATATATATATACATATACACCTGTTTTTTTTAAATATGATGTAGTTAAGATATTCCAATATGTCCCATTGGAGAGGAAGCAATTTTTGATGATTTTATAACTCCTTTGATCAGTTTTGCAGCATTTTTTGGCATCGAGGAGATTGAGATTCCCCAATATGATGGAGCTCTTCATGTCAGGGGGCCACAGCTTGGTTTCGAGTTCCAGTTTTCTGCAGGATGCAGCTTGGAACAGGTTTCTTGGGGAAAGGGGCCATCTTGGAAACATTTAAGGGTTGTTGATGACATGTATTCAATGTATTCAATGTATTCTGCATCCCATGAGAGATCGCAAAAATACACATCTATGATTAATTTGATGATTTTCACATACACCCAAAGGTGCATTAGCCCGATAAGTAAAGCATGAATGGGGAATATGAACGATATATATATATATACAATCCAAGTTTAACCCATGTTTGTGGGATATGTCCAATTGGGATGTATGTCCAATTGGAATATATGATTTAATCCATATTTAAATAACAGCCCATTAATAAGTACCAATCCAACCATTCATTGGGATATTTCAGCCATATCCCAATTGGAATATGTCCAATTGGGGTGAATGTTCCAATTATAGGCTTTAGGGTTTCTAGGGTATGTCCAACTATATCCCAAGGAATGAACATCTTCCATTCATGGTTGGTCGTTATGCCCTGTCAGTGGCGTCCGTCTGGTCGCTGAGTCTGCCTTGGTGGCGCATAGCACCTTTCGACGCATCGGAGATGAGGAAGGAACCGAAGCGGCCTTGAAGGCTGGATCGAAAAAAGGTACTGTGGATGGGCCAGCGAAATCCTGCACCAACCGGATGATTGAACTCCTGTAAATCATATTAAATAATGGGATGTTTACCATCTATCAAATGGTGCAGGATTTCGCTGGCCCATCCACAGTCACATGGATCTAGATATTTTACGGGATGTATTTCATCAAGAATATGAGATTTAAATCATTTGGATCTACCGAGAATTGGGGATCAAATTCAAAAAATGTGTCTACTGCAGGATGGGAAGGCCATGAGTCTTGGATTTGGGCCCACAGGTTTCAGACAAAGCCATTTGGACATGTAGTCGGTGGAAGGAAGCCAGCCATTTTTGATGGATTTCAGCCAGGTGGTGAACGAGATTCGAAGTTTGCAGGAAGGTGTCTCGCTTAGATTTGTCCATTTTGACCCCTGGGGGTTGAAGTTGAATCCCACATTCATATTATACAAATACCTCCACTACTGTTTGGGGCCCAGAATGAATAGATCCAATACGTTTAGTTCATATGATTATAGCACTTTTGGTGCATACCTTTGGTAACCTAGGCTGTCAGCTGAGAATGCCATAGTTCGATAGGTGAATCATTCATGCCAGTAGCACATTTTCCATTCTGCCCATTTAGATGACTAGACAGTAGATCTCCATGTTTGTTACTCAAAACCTCTACTTCTTCTAGTTAAACTCTCCAGTTATGGTGAAACAAAATGCACGCCAGAGTGTCCTCGGGATCGTGGTAATCCATCAAGGATCATCAAGGTACTTCCGGTAGACTGCGGCCAAGGTTCAGACAGATCGCTGCACAAAGATATGCCACGACCAAGGTGAGGGTCTCTTCAAGAGCCGCACATGGGGAGCTCGAGTTTCATAGGGAAAATGATGGAACATGTACTTTTCTCCTATATTTTCATGCACTTTTCATATATTTGTATGGGGAATGTGATGACAAAAGATGGGAAATGATGGGCTTTTGGGGTACCACAATTAGCCACGCAAAACCAAGAATACCCAAGCTTGGAAAGTTGAGAGATTTGACAGTATCAAAAAGCAGCCCCCACATTTGCGCGCATGGGCGCATGGCCCATGCTTTATCTCCAGTACCTTCACCGATGGAAACTTCCCTCCAGGAACATTCCTCATTAATTGGGTGCTTCCAGGGCTTCGCCGTAGGTATTTTTCGACGAGAAATTTGTTGGGTAACTTACCGACTCATTTTTTGGGAAATGCTCATTTGTTGGTCTTTTTCAAGAAAAAAGGATAAAAAAGGGATCAATGATTTCCCCGTTCAAAAAGGGACCAAATTTCGGATTGTTTTGGGGTTTTGGACCTAAAAAAATACCCACATATCAGGCTTAAATATTATACCCAAATATCCCACGATATTTCCATAACGGATAGCGTGACCTTTGATCAAAGTTTCACCCAACAGTAGGACATTTCCTCATTTATAGATCATGTACCCTGTAGTAATTTGACATAATGATGGACAATAACATCATTTTTAACAGGTAAATCATCTATAACTGGCCCATTTTCCCAGATTTTCCGTTTTTAAGAGATAAATCATCTATACATGGCCCATTTTCCATAGCCATGTTAAATTCTACCATGGTATTTTTCAATGTTCCCAGGTCATCCCACATCTTTCCGACTGTCTTTCCCTTGTCTTTCCCGCGTCAGGCCCCTGCCCCCCGCCTTTTCCTCGGCACCAACCGCAGTGGTACATCCATACCATGCTGGGGGGCCTGAAGTTGCTATGTTTCCTGGGGCGAAAACGCGACGGCTTTTTTGGCTGATGTCATTTGAAATGAAGGCAATTTGTCAATAATTTTTCATCCCCCGTTCATATTAAACACCCTCGAGAAACCATGGTGGATGTAGGTGAGGATAAGAACACATACTTGGGAGCATTTTGCCATTTTGGGGGCTGTTTGCTTTTTGGGGGATGGGATTACAAGGAGAATCATCAAATGGCCCAAGTCTGGTCAGACACCGAGGTGAAAATTTGATATCAACACAGAGAAGCTGCAAGAACCCAACAGCGCAATTCCTTGATTTGCGTAAGGGTTTCTATGAAAATTGGGTACCCCATTCCATCCATTGGTTAATCATCATTATCCCATATTATCCCTAGAAAAGATGCTGTTCGAAAATTGAACCCCCCATTTTCAGATACACAATCACTTCGAAGAGGAGTTCCATTTGATATCAATTAACACGAGCATTTTCTTGGGTAAATCAGTAGTAAATCAGTAGTAAATCACCATTAAATCACCATTAAATCACCATGAAATCACCATGAAATCACCATGAAATCACCATTAAATGTCCATTACATGTCCTCATTAAACACCCCTTTTTTGATCCCAAGAACTCTCCCAGGAGTTGGTCGGCGGCCGTCAACTTCCGTTGGAAGCTCAGGGAGGCCTTGGCGGGGGACTTCTTCGAAAGACAAAGGCCCAATGGCCCCAATTTTTTTGACCAAGTTGAATGATTGATGTTTACCCTCTGGTTATTTAACATAGCCATGGAAAATGGCCCATTTATAGATGGTTTACCTATTAAAAATGGTGATTTTCCATGGCTATGTTAAATAACCAGAGGGTATTCATTTTTTGGGAAAGCCTCATGTTTTTTTTTGGGGTCCCCCTCTGAATTTTTGAAGGAACCCCAAGAGTATGCCATAAATCAATATCAATCCGGTATCGCTATCAGAATCGGTCGAAGTCAAGGCCTTTTCAGGATGAACCGGGGGTCATTCTGGCCCACCTCAGCAATGATCTTCATGGGAAACCACACCAAAATGGCCAAAAGTCGGTGTACGATTTTCGGAGAACTTCGCAGGTGACCAGATACTGCTCAAGTGCACCAGACTTCTTGAGCCCGACCATAAATAATTAGTGATAAATACTACGCATAATATGAATCCTATGATTCAATGTGAATAATTTGATTATAATGTGGCCATATCGTGTGAAAAACATGATAGAAAGTACGAATGATACCGATCATATGAACTGACACATAACCTCCGATGTCATCATGTTCCTATGATTTTCCTATGATTTTCCAATGTGTTTCCTATTGTTTTAAAGGGGATTTTCATCTTTCCAAGTCCCACACGCTGTAGCCCTGCGAGCTTCGTTCGCCCTCAGGTTTCAGGTCCCGGACTTGCAGGTGCCACCCCCGGAGACGGAGACCGAGGTGGGCGGAACCGAGTGGAGAGATGGGAGGTCATGAGAAGTTGAAGCTCATGTCAGATTGGAGAGAGGTAGGTTCTAGGGTGTGTGTATATATATATATACATAGATGTAATTACATATATATATATATAATTATGTATTGTATATATATATATATATGAGTCACCGACAAAATGAGCTAAAGACTAAAGTAGTATAGGGAGTGGACTTGGAATGTTCAATTTTTACCTTAAAGCCTTCACAACCGATAGTTTGAGTCATTGTGTATGTGATATATACATATATACACGTGCCCAAATTCTATTCTTTTGAAAGGGATATACTGGTAATATAAGATAATATATACATATGTATATATAATAATATATTATTCATATGTTTCACCACCAACATTTTTTTGTATGTCTGAAAATCGAGGATTGACCACCAAAAAAAACAGAGTTTAGGGAAACTTTTGGGAGACCGTACAATGTCCTTAATTCAATTATTAAACAAATGGTGTTGATTTTGGTCCTGAATTGGTGCTGATTTCGAAAGATTTTGGTGTTGACTTCCATGGATCTTAAGGATTCTTCCAACATTTTTTGGAAACCGCTGCCTCTCATTTCACCAACATGTACCTATTGGTAATTCGACGTACTTCTATAGCATGTCAGGATGTCAGAAGTAATCAGAAGTACCGTGTATCTAGATACTTATTCGATTGCTTCTATTGTTCTTTAAATATTTTCTTCGTAACCCGAAAAGATAGACATTTCGTACTTCTCTAGTTTCGATTCGGATCTTACTTTTCTATCCCTTGGGGGGTTGCCCCGAACACAGGCGGAGAAGCCTTCGGCCACTGAGGCGTACCCCGATGTGGGAGTTTATGAGTTTTTTACAGCCAGTCATGGTCGGTGAATGGGATGTAAAAATGGCAGGTCTACCACGGTTTACCACAGCAAAGTTGATTTATCGCTAGTAGCGAACTATATAATTACTATCGTTTAGTGGCACCATACATGGTCCAATGGTTAACTCTTCAATTTGTCGCAGCATGGTATAACTACAAGGTGGGTGCCCAGTAGTTAGGCTAGCTATATGGTTGGTGTTAGACATATTTATGATATTTATAGTTCATGGGGGTTGTAAACCAACTTAATTACTTAAATTAACCATGTAGGTAAACCATGTTTATAAACCATGGTTGTAAACCTACAAGGTGGTGACTCCCAAATATACTCCATAGTAGTTAGACATATTTGGGAATCACCACTTTTTTTGTGGTAAAACAACTGTGGGATCCCTGGGATCCCATTCAGACATCGAGATGTGTCATTCTGATACAAGTAAACCTAGCATAAATATCAGATAATCAATGGATAAAGAAATGGATAGACATGTTTTTTTTTTTAAAGAAAAAAAACAAATTTAGTAATCAATAGATAATCAGATAATTAATCAATGGGTAATCAATATCAGTAGATAATCAGAGAATCAATGGATAGACATGGATAATTAGATTAATTTAAACTATATCATCAATAAACCATCCATAAAATATCTATTGATTCAATTATTTTATATCATCAGTAAACCTACCATAAATAGATAGACATAGATAATCAATGGATAATCAATAGATAATCCATGGTCTTGTCTATGGAGAGGGACATTCCTTATAGGGACACTCCTGGAACATTCCTCTTCAATCCAGATATAGTTCATGATATTGCCCATAAGTATCCCTTAACACATCCTCGCAGAACATTGTAACATTCCCCAAATCCTGCTTACATTGAAGTTTCCCAATCTGGGTATGGATCAATACCTATTAATACCATTTTTAGTGGGTTATTCACATCCATGTTAACCCAGCTAAATTTTGATGTCCACCAGGGGTATAGGGTTTTGACACACTGCCATCTCAATAAAACCCCATAAAGCCCCACGAAACCTGCATAAACCCTACCATTTTTAGCGACATATCCCCCATTCCAGGCGGCCTAACAGCCAGGCCGTGACAGCAGATGCCAACATCCGCAGCCTGGGAGATAGGCGGCCGGGATCAGCAACTAATGGCTGGATTTATGACACTTATGGATAGCCTAAATCAAGAATCGACTATATCTGGTTGGTGCTTTGGAACATGATTTTTTTGATTTTCCCCAGTTGGGATGATGATCCAATCTGACGAACTAAAAAACATTTTTTAGGGGGGTTGGTATACCACCGATCATGGTTGAAACTAAATCCCACAATTGGTATGGGTCATCTTGAGGGCCTCCGGAGACGGACCTCTTTCTACGTTCAGCTCTCGCAGGGTGAGCGAAGCCATGGCGTTGGGCGCGGTGCAGATCTCAAGCTGTCTGGCCATATGGGGCATGCATTTGGGATTTGACACAGACAATTGGGGAAGAATGGAAAGCTCATCAAGACCTGGGGGGATTTTCACTGGTTGGTGGTTTGGAACATGTTTTATTTGTCCATATATTGGGAATCATAATCCCAACTGACGAACTCATATTTTTCAGAGGGGTAGGTCAACCACCAACCAGCATATGATGTTTAACCACAGATAAACCACAGATAAACCATATAGATTAGCCATTATTAAAATTATTAAACATTATTAACCATTATTAACCATCATTAATCAGATTTTCACTTGCCATGTTCCATTCTCGCCCTACGTTTCCATGTGACAAAGTTCGGGGGGATCATGGATGCACAATGTAAACCGACGTCGGTTCCTGAAGGATTTCCTATAAGTATCGCCCTTTTTAACTTTTCAGAAAGCCTGAGTTTCAGAGAATCCCATACTATCCCATACTACATCCACCATGGTTTCAGGTGGGGTGTTTAATATATTTTAATATAATCCAGCCCTTTGTATATTTGTTAGGACTTGGTGGCGCACCCAATCCACCATTTTGGCTTCAGATCCAGCCTCTGCAGAAGAATGACACCAAGTCAGCCTTACAGGCGCGCGGTTCCGGTGATGGTTCCTGAGGATGATTTTCAAATCTGGCTCAGGGTTGAGGGATCAAAGAACTTTGGACAGTTGCCATGATTTTCGTGATGATCTTCACAATACTTCCATAAAGATCAACATTTCCATAGATTTATTTCCATGAAAAACAAGTTGTATCTCACTGACACTTCATGATTTTCATCATTTTCGCCAACACACTTTCCATGAAGATTTCCATGAAGATTTGTTGTATTTCAACATACTCTGCTACCAAGCCATGCTCTGTCTCCGTTGCTCATCCACCAAGCGCCATCTGGCCATCGGGATGGGCGCGCCGCCGAGTCTGCCTTGGTGGCACAGAGCACCTTTCGACGCATCGAAGATGAGGAGGGAACTGAAGCGGCCTTGAAGGCTGCGATCTGGGACCGAGCCAGAGAGGATCAAAGAGGTTTTTCGAATGGTTTTTTTTCGGATTTCAATAGGATTTTGATGGGATTTTGATGCGATTTCAATGGGATTTCTGGATTTTAATGGGAATTAATGGAATGAATGGACATTTAATGAGAAAACTGACATAGATGTGGAAACCCCCATGCGGAAACCGCCAGGAAAATCATTTACAACTAGAAGATGTTCCACATCCATGGCAATGTTTACTGGAGGGTATCTCCAATGAGGCAATATGCCAATAGGGTACAGATATTTTGTGGATATATTCACTAAGAAGATGACATTTGGGTCCCCAAAATGGGGGATCCAGCGAACAACGAGTCTTGGATTTGGGGCTGGGTAGCACATTTTCCGACAAAGCCATTTGGACATGTAGTGGGGGGAAGGAAGCCAGCCATTTTTGATGGATTTCAGCCAGGTGGTGAACGAGATTCGAAGTTGGCAGGAAGGTGTCTTGCTTAGATTTCTCCATTTTGAGCCCTACAGTAAGATTTTGGTTGAATCCCACATTCATATTAAATACCCTCACTATGGAACCCCAGAATGAATAATCAGATCCGCTACGATTAGTATTCAGGCAAGGGATTGAGCGCTTTTAGTACCTTTGATAGTCTAGCCTGGCAACTGAGAATGCCGTGGTTCGATAGGTGAATCACTATGCCACTAGCGCGCTTTCCATTCTGCCAATTTATATAGATGGCTAGACAGGCAGTCTAGACAGTAGATCTCCATTTTTGTTACTCCAAAGCTCTACTTCTTCTAGTTAAACTTTCCAGTTATATATGGTGACAAAGAAATGCCATAACCGTAATTTCCTGGGGATGTGGTACTCCATCAAGGTAGTTCCAGTGCGGCCAAGGTTCAGATTGAGCCGGGGTGGAAGCGCCGAAGGAAAAGCCCCACTGGGCACGGATCTTTTTCCGTGGATTAAAATGTCCGTCAGTCGCACCTGGAGCTTCCCAAGTGGTCAGCAAATAGTAAAGAAAAGCGTGTGGATTGATTCAATGGGGATGAACAGACCATGGGCCTGCAAAATTCATGATTCTAAAAAATATATATATATTTAAAAGAACAACTACTATACATTTCTGAGCCCGGCCGCTTTTTTTTGGAGCTACACATTTGAGCTACACATTTTTCGACAAAACCAAACAGCGCCTTTGGTGGATCACGTGTGGTTTTTCGGGATGCCCATGGCACTTGGGGATGATGGGTCAGTGAACATCCATAGCTCCACGTGCCTGCACTGGTTGATGCTTTATCTGCTTTATCCCATGATTTATAGAATTTTAACCATCCGGTTGGTGTAGGATTTCTTCGATCCACAGTATGTCCTATGCATGGCCCGACAGAAACTTTCTTTGGCCCAAGAGAGGCCATGCCATGCAGCAGGTCATGCGAGGTCACTGCTCCATCTTGTGAAGGATCTGTTGAGCAAGAAGTTGGCGCCCACGGTAAAATCCACTTTGCAACTGGTCAATGGGAATATTCCCTTACATAGGCCTTACATAGGCCTTATATATAGTAGGTACCTCCAATTTAGGTTCCTAAAATGGCCATTGAACTGGAGTTGACAAAGTTCTGACACATTCATGAGCCATTTGACGCAGCTGGTACATACATTCATGTTTCATGTTTGCATACAAGCGCGTCAAAGCCAATGGTGAGGACAAAGATACCATGATCCTAAACCCTTGTCAGGAGCTATGGATATCTGTTTCCCATTACAAAGCTGCAACATTTTTTTTGTATCACTAGGTTAGGCAGAGTTGACAGGCAGTATGCTTTGGATCCTCATGGGAGAATCGCAAGGCTAGCGCAAAGGACCGCCCTAATGGCGTGGGTGCAAAAATCGGAAACTTTGGGATGTTGAGCTACCCTCTAGTAATCAAACATATCAAACATGGCGATGGAAATCCATCATTGATGATTTCCAAAGCTGTACACCTCGATAAAAATATATGGGATTTCCCAAAATTGCCACCTTTGATTCCCGGCTCCGGGTGGAATCTTCGTGACTCGACCAGACTTCAACCAGCTGGGCACAGGACGCTGCGATGTCTCGCTGGGAGTGGCAGAAATGTTGCAGGCCGCACTGCAAGCAGGATGGGAAGCCGTAAAGGAGAACGACATGGTTAGACCTTATTCTTGGATAGGGACATATAATATAATGAGATATCAGTGATATCAGTGATATCAGTGTGAAATATCATGAAATATCCATATCCCCAAAATATCTCCAAACGTATCCCCAAGTTTGGCCGCGGATGTCCGAGTTTTCGTGATGTCGAACATCGGCACAATTCTGTGACAGTTGTGGTGGTCAGGTGTTATCCGGACAACCCTTGGTTCGTGCGCGTGTTATCAGTGACAAGCTTAGGTCAGGGGGAAGTGAGGGTGGGGGCAATACCCACTTGGAGAATCATCCCACGAATTGAAACTGGTTCGGAACCCGGTTTTTCTTGTCCCCCGACTGACTGGATGCTGCCACTGGGACCAAAATCTCACTTACAAACCAGTTGGGGTTGGCCCAAGGGATTTCATTTCCTTTCCATTTCCATGATCCCCATCTTGTGGTTCTGCCTTGCCAAACATTCCAAAAATTCCGGGTGGGATAGGAGTTGCAGAGAGTGCAAAATGGAGGTTTTCTAAATTTCAGGGGTACCCCGTACCCCGAAATCATCCATTCTTATTTTCGCATTGTCCAGGTTTAAAACCAACCATTTTGGGGATCCCACATTTATGGAACCCCCCAAATGATCTTCAAAATGAATCCAAAAAACCGTTGGAGCCTTCCTATGTTCGACTCAGGTCTCCATTTGTATCATGGGTTGTATCGAGTGCCAGTCTCAGTTTGCCGCACTATACCAAGGTCTATGAGGCTGACGATGATGATGATGATGATGATGATGAGGATGACGACGATGACGATGACGATGACGACGATGATGATGATGATGATGATGATGCTGATGATGATGCTGCTGCTGATGATGATGAGGATGATGAGGATGATGATGCTGATGATGATGCTGCTGCTGATGATGATGAGGATGATGAGGATGATGAGGATGATGACGATGACGACGATGACGACGATGACGACGATGACGACGATGACGACGATGATGACGATGATGACGAGGATGATGATGACGACGACGACGACGATGATGATGACGATGATGATGCAGACCACTTTTGAATACTTTTGACAAGGTTGACCTTACGGAAGGCTGTCATGTTTTGCCCAAGCAGCACACTTTGTCTAAGGGTGGCGAACCATTGTCGCATTTCGACCATGGAGAGCTATAACATTGTCACTGACATGTGGCTCGGCAGTTTTTCAGGGATGTTCTTACTTTGTATTCAAGGTGGGCCCCCCTAGATAGCTAAGTTGGTCTAAAGGTGAAGTGGTTCAGTATGGTTTATAGTAGATATATCATGATATATCTATGTATCTATAGTTGACGGTGTTTATAACTGGGGGGCACCACCTTGTCCTACCCTGGGTGATGATTAAATTTGACGTTCAGTTGTTTTGGCATGGGTAAGAACCATTAGGGTTTGCCTGCAAATAGCGTACCCTATTCCGTCCACTGGGTAATCATCGTTTTCACCATGAAGAGTTGACATCACCGGGGGGTCAATCCCCATTTTCAGATACCCAGCATTCACATTCTTGGTGGTTATATATATATATACACATGCATCACATATGATATATATATATATATCATTATATATCCTATGCCTGGTTTGAAATCACACTTTTTCAAACACACCCATAAATTCAGCAGTGATTCGTAACTTTTTTGATCCCCTTGGAGGACCGTCGAACTCGCAGCGTTCGAGCTTAGGATTGATTTGGATTCCATGAAGCGGACGAACCTGCTTCCGGTGGTGGGTCACCAAGTCAGGTGCATCTGGCTGCTGATATCCATTGGAATCATGGTTTCATCGAAAGTTCCTGATGGTATACGCCCACAATCATCATTTTTTTTGTCAGTCTTGATAAGGAAAGTGGTGTTTTTTTTAATTTGCGACCTCAGTTTTTGGAAACATCCATATATGTTTAAGTGGGGATGTCATGTTTTAGAAAAAGGCGGACCCTGTGAAAAGCTACCGCGGAATAGTCGGAGATCGAGTGACTTTTATTGAGTCAGTGTTGGCTGTTTATTCTTTTGCCATTTAGGATATATGAGGATCCAATCAAGGCAAACAAACACCTTTTTGCAGGGTATTTAAGATCAGATTCGCAATGTTTGTGTCCAATCAAGTTGGTCGGAGAGTGGGAAGATCATTCGTAACTGTCGAGCATCTTTTTAAGCAATCTCCAATCAGAAGCTAGAGAACAGGGTGCTGACAGCAAGGATATCCTAACGTTTCACACCTTCCATCGATGAATTGGGGCCAAAAATAAGGAAGAGTAGCCTCTGGTAGCTGAACATAGCTATGGACAATGGCTCAGACAATGGCTCAGACAATGGCTCATTTAGTTCGATGATTTCCCTTTTGAACTAGTGATGTTCCATAGGTATGTTAGTTTACCAGAGGGTAATCCATTTAATGGGAATATACCTATCAATCATGGGGATTCAATGGGATATAACTGATATAACTGGCACTACCTAGCAATAATGGGGATGTGGTATCCTAAATTACCAGAGGAAATCTCTCGCGACTTTCTGAAGGTACTAACCAGGTCACCGCAGCTCCTACTGTACAAGATATCTAAGATACACCCTACAGTGGGTCCGAGCAACAACGATGCCTAGAGAAGCAAGCCACCGAAAATTTGATGGTTTGTCATGGATTTGTCATGGTTTATCATGTTTTTTCCATGGATTATCATGGTTTATCATGGTTTTTCATCGTTTTCGCGCTTGAAATGTCCAGGCTCAACCTAGGGATCAACCAAGGGGTCAGCCAAGGGCTCCCCAGTTGAAACGTCCCGAAAAGTTCAAAGATGAATGGGAACCATGGACATATTGGTATTATATTATATTATATCATATAGTTATTGTCTGTTGTTACCATGAAGTTACCACCCACTCTCATATTAATCCTTTCAAAGGCTGCATCATCCTTTCTGACAGCCAACAGGACACCCGACAGGACACCCGCTCCACACTTGCAGTGACGTTGATAACCCACAGACGTGTTTCTCATTCTTCACTCGCAAGACTTGTGCCCTCAAAATCTCAAACACTTCCATTACACTCTGAAAAGAAACACTTCGAGAACCTCCATCCTACTCCCCCCATAACAACTAGTAACTGTCAATAGTCCTCTGGTAATTTAACATAGCTATTGAAAATGAACCTAGAAATAGTGGATTTTCCCATGAAAAATTGTGATTTTCCATAGTTTTTTGTATGTTTACCAGAGGGTAGTCCTCTAAAAAAAACCCAACTGCTCCAGCCCCTCGTCCCAAATCTCTCCATGCCGGGCCTGGCGCTTCCCACTGCGGCCCTGCGGAGCAAGGGCGGCAGCACCTCCCCGGCGGCCGTGAGCCCAGCGAAGACGCTGCCGGGGACGCTGCTGCCCCTGACGGGTGCAGTTAGTCCGGGATCCAACTGCTCCAGCCCCGAGAAACTTGGAGGATGTGGCACATGATGTGGTTTAAATGTTGGGTTTAAATGTCAAATTGATAGAACTTTTGTTATATTTTTGATAGACAGATTGAATTTTTTGGTTTGATTTTTTGTGTGTCATTTTGGTTTGATGTTGGAGGTTGTTTGAAGATTGATAAGATTGGGCCCTAAATGTACTGGTTCATCATTCATTTTCTCAGATTTGTTCATCCATTTGGGGGCATACATGGGCATCCGTAGAGAAGCTTATAAAGTGGGGTGCAAAAACCATGATATTGATTTTGTATATCCTGGTTTTTCAACTATTCTGGGGTTTGATTTTTCCTTCATTGTAAAAAAAAGAGTTCCTGTGTAATCCTTCGGTTCGGTTCACAAGTTTCTGTCAGGTTTGGTTCCAACCCTTCGGCTTCTACGGTTCTCAGCTAGACAGATAAAGTAGACAGGTCAGACAGACACAGTAGATAGATAGACAGATGGATAGATAGATATAGAATGATATAGATAGATAGATAGATAGATAGATTAGATCAGATCAGATCAGATTAGATTAGATTAGATTAGATCAGATTAGATTAGATTAGATTAGATTAGATGGATAGATAGATGGATCGATGGATAGACGGATCGATGGATAGATGGATTAGATAGATAGATCGATAGATAGATACGTAGCGGAACGGATGGATGGATAGATAGAGATTGATAGAGATAGATAGAGATTGATAGAGATAGATAGAGATCGATAGAATTTGATAGAAATAGATAGATAATGATAGAGATAGATAGAGAGAGAGAGAGGTAGATAGATAGGTTAGTCGGTAGGTAGGTGGGTAGGTAGGTAGATAGATAGATAGATAGATAGGGATAGATAGATAGATAGAGATAGATAGACACAGGATGACACAGGATGACACAGGTGGATATAGATAGATATAGATAGATATATACTCAGTATGTCGATGTAGGATTTCATCAAAGAGATGGAGGATGCGGTTGTGTGGTTGGATTATGGATGTAGGGTCGATGGAGGGTTCTTCAAGCTGTTTTGAACAGCAGGCTGTATGGTTGTAGTTTCCCTGGTCAGTTTGTTCTTTGCAAATGGGATGTAACGAAATGGGGACTAGATGCCAGCGAGGATTTTGATTTTGACTAGATATAAGAGGTTGATTTTGGATAGGATAAGGCCGCACAAATTCCAGAGGTTTGAAACATCATTTGACCTCACCAAAATGGCACTTTTTTCTAGGCCCAGAGGCATTTCTGGACGAAGGCTTTTTTTGGTTCGAAAACTGGATTCCACCGTTTAGAGCATCCAGATTCTTTTGAACCATAAGAACCATAAAAAGAACCATAAAAAGCTCCCATTTTTGTATGATCTCCAATGATCTTCACCTCATGAAAGGTGCCACTTTTCATCACCAGTCGAAAGGTCGTGCGTTTGGGCCAAGGAAACCGCTGATCTCGCCGTCCATCAACTTAAAGGCCTTGATTCCGGACCATGTCACTTGCCAAAATCCACCACCCAGAGAACTTGAAGCTTCCCATGTAGATATATGATATATATATAATTAAATATGATATATATATATATATATCCCCACCCAAAAAAGATGCCGGAAAGTGTTTCCAGGATGGTAGTTGGGTCATGGTTCCCACTAGTCGTTTCCAGGTTTCCAGCTTTTCGGCATCTTTTTTTGGGGGGTTGCTGCACAATTATTGATATAGAATTGCATGTGGATATACATATATTAGTTATTCAATGTTATTCAGGTATATGATAATAGATTATTAGTATATGGATAATATTGGATAATATGCAGAATAGATATAATTATATATACACATTATCTATTCGTAATTAATTGTCCATATTCAAATGGGATCCGTTTTGGGGTTCTCGAATGCAACCTGCATTTGATCCATGATTGTCATTCTTCTTGCTGGTTAAATTCCCATTTTTGCTGAAAGCAGCACCGAATGTTAAGAGAGGTAGCTCAAGCCCCAAAGTCATGGTTCACGCACCAACAAAATCCCATATTTCTGCTGGTTAAAAATCAGATTTGTGGATGGAAAAATCCAAACTTCGGCAGGAAACTGACAATTTCATGCCAGAAAATCTGTTTTTTTTAGCAGTTCAATCCTCATATAATTGGTATACCCAATGCAATAAACCATCGCCAATAGCATCACAGACTGGTGGGAAAAAACCCTCGCCAAATGGTAGGTTTATGGCATTGGGTTTACCCCATTCCTCAATGGTAAAAAAACGCAGCATCGTCATTTTTGCCGCTCAACATTCACATTTTCGCTACTTGGTGGCTCATCCCACTCAGTAATAGAACCCTATTTATAAGTGTATTAACCCATATTAATCCATATTATAATCCATATTATAATCCATCCTATTTATCCCACTCATAGTTATTATAATCCATATTATCCATATTAATCCATATCAATAACCCATATTATGGCAACGTAAGCCTACAGTTACCCAGTTACTCATCTCAGGTGGACGAAGACATCTTCGACCGCTACGACTTCGGCGAGGCAGGACCCTTGGGCGCCGGCGGCTACGGCAGCGTCTACTTGGCCAAGGATCGCACGCACCGGGGGCGGATGGTGGCTGTGAAGAAGGCCATGATGATGGATGGCGACTCGGTGATCAAAAAGTGCTGGTGTCGAGTTGACACCAAAAAAAAAAAGAAACCTGGCTTTTTGGGGTCATTTATATCTATAACCACTAGAAGTGACAGTTTTAGCTGGGCATACAGATTGCTAGGGCCTGGTGGATGATGTTTCTTTCACTGAAATGAGGGTTTGACTTGTCAAGAACTGGAAATTTAAAGATTAAACATGGTGATTTACAGGAACCAAAGAAATTGGGGATTTAACTCTACGCCACAAATTGAGATCTATAGATCCGGCTAAAATTCAGCAACTGTGAGGGATTTTTGTTGCAGCCATGCCGGGATTCCTCAAACTCAAATGGGTTGAAACCACCAAAATCGTTGCGCGGTGCTTTTTTTATGGCCACGGAAATTTAGGTGATATTGGATGGTTGGGATTGAAACTTTTGGTGCAAAGCAGGGTTGCAAACTTGGTTGGGCTCTTCCCTGCTCACTTTCTGAAGCTAGCTTTCTGAAACCAACACTGCTTTTATCTCTTGTGACTACAGAATCTCAGAAACATTCCTCTGTGTCTTATTCCTCAAATCCCTGGGACTTCAAGTGTCTTAGTTACTCCTGGCTTCGCGCCTTGGCTTCGCATGCGTTCGCTCGCAGGTGATATGAGAGAGAACTTCCAGCAAGAAGTTGGAATCATGAAGGAGTTGGACCATCCCAATATTTGCACAGTCTATGAGAGCTACGACCACGGACGTCATGTCTATTTGGTCATGGAGTATTGTGCAGGCTTGGAAAGCATCTTTTTGAGATATCTAGAGATTGTAGAGCAAATGAGAAATTCCAAGACTTTGAGAATTATGTGCATGCGCAACATGAGAGTCCAATTCGGGTTTGTATGGAAGGATGATGGATACGCTCTGGTAATCAAGCAAGGCTTGCTGGAAAATGCACCATTCAGTTCAATGATTTTTCAATAGATGCTCATTTTGTTCGGGGATTTCGCTCATGGTACTGCTGGTCCAAATTTGTGCCCCAAAGTTGACGCTTTGCTCCCTAAACTACCAGACCGTTTCTGGTTTCAGTGGTCTTGAAATTTTTGCCCAAATCATATCCTAAGATGTGAAGTGTGTGCTGGCCATCTCCTATTTTTTTTTTGGTGAGCCACCATTTTCCTTGCTGCTTCAAACTGTAAATTTTTCCATGGGATTTCCATGGGATTTCACCATGGCTTTCCAGGTGGTGACCTTTTCGATTACATCCTGAAGCACAACGGTCTGCCGGAGCCGGACGTCATCGAGATCTTGCGGCAGGTGACGTCAGCCCTGAAGCATGCGCACGACAAGGGCATCGCACATCGGGACTTGAAGCCCGAGAACGTGTGCTTTGCGGAAGCTCTGCGGAGACCGTTGTTGAAGATGTGTTGAACATGGGGTGGTTAACATGGTTTAACCATGTTTAACCAATATAGATATACAAGGATGTACACGGATATATCATGGGGATAAACCAATAAACATGTGTTGAACATGGAAGTTCAACGAAAACAGTGGGGATATATTAGATGATTTATCATGATATATAATTACTGTACTCCAAACGTATGGGATTGATACGGTAACTGATTGGGTTGTTCATCGGGTTGGATTTTGAGATTGGGCAAGTCAAATGCAAGCAGGATTTTGGGAATATCATGGGGATACACTCTGTTGTGGGATATTTTATGGACACTAAATCAATAGTGGGATAATAGTATGGGCGGTATGATATAATGAATATATGTGGGGATATTTCTTGGGAATTTGGCCTGAAAAATGCGGAACTTCCCCAAGTTATGGCGTTCAAACAAATTGGCAACCATGGGGATGTAACAAGCCATCAAATTCGGGGATTATCTGCTGATAGAAAGAGTCTATATAATAGAGCCATTTCTGGGTGGGTTGAGAGGTTAATAAATGTTGGCTTTCACCAGATTTTCACACCAGCGGCAGTGGGTACCATATTGCTTCGCCAGTAGCTGCTGAAACATCCAACCTGGGTCCTGGGTCCCGTCCGTCGAGGATGATAGCAACGTGGACATCCACGTAAAGGTCATCGATTGGGGCCTGGGATTTTACTTCAAACGCGCGCACATGAAGACCTGCGTCGGGACCAGTGCTTATGCGGCGCCGGAAGTTCAACAACCAGTGCCTAGACCATCCTAGACCTGCAATGTTGGGGCCCCAAAATATCATCCAGTAAACTAACAGGGCTATTGAAAATGGTCCATTTATAGTTGGTTTCCCTAGTAAACGTATCTAAAAATGGTGATCTTCCATAGTTATGTTAGTTTACCAGAGGGTAGTGGGCTCTGTATTGGGTACCGCTCCCCCGATGTAAAAATCTGTCTACATTCATCGAAATCCAGCTGTTTTATTACAGTAAAGATTAGTAAAGCATATTATTATCACATCAATGAACTTCACTGCTTACATCTGCTTCCAATTTTTTCTTGCTGAACTTGCTGAACTGTTGCTGAGTTCCCCTCAAAAGTTTGGGCGATTTCCTCATATTTCCTCTAGGTCAAGGGGACCTACACCAATGCCTGCGATCTCTGGAGTTTGGGTGCCATGGCTTGTGTCATGCTCACTGGTGAGCCGCCTTTCTTTGGGGCGAGACCCGACGAGGAGTCCGCAGGAGCCAGCATCCGCATGACTGGGCGGGTGGCTTGGGGTTGGAAAATGAACCGTGAACCCTCGAAATATGATCATTTCTAGTAGGGAACATGAACCCCCAACAAAATGGTCATATTTAATAGGGAAAATCATGGAAATGATCATTCACCCGATGGATTTAGAACTAGCATCTTTTCAGACTCAAGTAGATGGCGAAAGTCCAATGATGACTTGGAATTTTACTTTGGGGTACGTGTACGCATTTTTTTCAGGCCTTTGCCAGGGGTGTTGGTTGGGAAGATGAGGGCAAGATTCATGTGATATAGGTGTTGGTACCTCTATAGTCTACATTCTACATATATATATATATACATATATATATATATACATATATTAATATACATATATATATATAATATAAATATATATATAATATATAATATATATATATATATATATGCACATGTATGTTTGATATTTGTGCGAGTGGCGCCATGAAAAAGCTCTGGTTGAGGGATATCGTTTTTTTCGTTCAGTAGCACAGAGGGAATACCCAAAACAGGACGGTCCCCACGATACCGAAACGCCTTTCAACCCCTTCAGTTTCCCTCCAAAAGAATTCACCATCCAGATATTATCGGAAAAAAAATCGTTGGCGTTCCAAAAGCATGCGATTTTCTATGATTTACCCCAAATTGATCCCATTTTGTTCAACTTGCTAGTCATTTCTTCCAACTTTTCTAAGTTCGTACTCCTCACACTTGCCTCATCGCAACTCATGTACATATTGTAAAACTATATGTGTTTAAACTTTGAAACGTGTTTAAGTCACATTTTACTTAGTTCCTCATCAGTAGTGCTCCTGTTGAATTCTATTGAATAACTCTTCTCCTCAACGCTGCTTAATTTTCCTCCTCCCATCATTTCTAGTGCTGTCAGTTGTTGTTTTTGCGTTCCTACTCATTTTAAACTACACCCTGGGCCTAGACCACATTTATTTACGCTATGCGGTGTTGAAAGTTTGATTGATGGTATACTGTAGATAAGTTCCATATTACTAAGCATTCATGCTTTTCTATAATTGCCAATTAGTCTTTTGCAAAACCCTGTTGTACAATTCCTTTGCTTTATTTAATTCGTTGAATTCCACATTATTGATGATATTTTATTTTTGGCATCGTGTTGAAGCTCCATATATTTTTGAATTACTATTTCACGGGGTATGATGGGTTTTGTTTGTTGTTTGTTTGTTGTGGTTCTCCTTTATCATCGAGCGGGCGATGAGTAATAGCCATACAAGATGGGGCCTCCCAAGTTAGAGTTTTTTAATGTTTTTTCTTTTTTATAATCTGTGTAGTTTATTGGAGAAGTTCTGTAGAGTTCTTTTGATATTGGAGTAAGTGATAGCCCAGTCATTCATACAGAACATCATTTTACTCTACATATATTTCTACATATATTTAATCTCAGTTTATACTTATATAGCATTAATTGCTATAAATCTAAGTTTTGCACACTAATCTCATGGACTCTCCATTTTTTTTGGGGCGTCCCGTTCTCCAGGACCCACGGTCACCAGCGGCGCGGCCTGGGAGGCGATCTCCGGCGAGGCGCGGAGCTGGGTGGCGAGTCTGCTGCGCTGGACGCCCGCGGAACGGCTCAGCGCGGAGGAGGTGCTGAATCATCCCTGGCTGTGGCTCGAAAGATGTGGTGTGATGGATCAATACTCATGGGTTAATCACCATTAATTAATAGGGGCTAGTCATTAATGGCTATACTTGGTTTATATAGTTGGAAAAAAACTGTAAGAAACAGTTATTTTTGCGATGGGATTTTCATGGATTTTCCGTAGTCTCCATGATTTTCCAGTGTAAAAATGATGTATAAATGATGATAAACATATGGGTATGGATCAATACCTATAAAAATACCATTTTTAGTGGGATGAACATCCATGTTAACCCAGCTATTTTGATGTGAACTACAGGGGTACAAGGTTTTGACATGGTTAATAACCATTAATTAATAGGGGCTAGTCATCCAATGGTGATTTAATGGGATTTATAATAAGCATTATATATAAGGATCCTTATGATGGGATGGGATGACCATCAACCATATAGTGAGTATTGACCATGGCTCATGTGGTGTGAAACACCCCTGGGCTCAAAGATGGGAGGGAAACCATGGGAGGGAAAAAACCTCTCTGAGAAAAAAAAACAAGAGAAATTTAAGTGACATTGAGAGTGGCAAAGGTGTGGTGTTCAAAATGGTTCAAACATTTTTGAGGGAAAAGCATGAGGTAAAAAACCATGGGGAAAAAACCATAAAACTATGTGGAAAAACCATAGAACATTATTTCCGAGGGAATATGTTTAAGGGAAAAATGTGGAGGTTTCCTAAATGGGGATATCGCTAAATCATCAAATTTTAATAAGATTTTTCATTTTAAACCATCCTTTTTGGGGATCCACCATTTATGGAAACCCCCATGTGAGGAAAAACACATGGGAAAAAACCATATGTAATATTTAGAGGGGCAAATATGTGGTGAAACAAGTGGCTCTTAGCAAAATTTGAGGGTCATAGATGGGTATTTCTATGGGTTAGATATTTCTATGTGGTGAATGGTTCGCATTTTGATGGGGTGACTGACTTGAATATGGGCAAGTGGTTAGTGGGATATGGGCAAGGGTGATGGGTATGTGGAGGTTTCCTGAAACACCGGGTACCCCCAAATCATCCATTTTTTTCTTGGCATTTTCATTATAAACCATCCATTTTGGGATACATCATGGGCAACCCCCATTTATGGAAGCCCCCATATTTTGTTGAAATTTACACCTCCACATAATTGTCACACAACCACTGTGTTGTACGTATGTTTTGGCTCAAGGGTAAAATAGTTGAGTGTGCTGTTTGCTGTGCATATTTTCTGAAAGTGGTAGCGGAGCTCTGGCTCCGGTAAAGGGCTCCTTGGGTAAGTGATACCAATGGCTACCCCGGAAGAGCAGTTAGCTCAGTTGGCGGATCGAGTGAATCAGCTTGGACAATTGCTCCAGCAAAGCCAAGAAAGGAACGCTCTGTTGGAAGGCCGCATGCAAGGACTGGAAGCGGCAGGAGCACAGATGGGACCCGCAATTCAAGCACTAGCAACAGCACAGACAGAAGTCGCAAACGCAATGAAGAAAGACGAAAAGAAAATCAACCTAGTGGACAATAGAGGAATCGGAAAGCCGGATAAGTTCAGTGGCAAAGAGAGTGAGAGCTATCTCAGATGGAGAATCAAGACAGAGTCATTCATGTTTTCAGTGTTCCCGGAGATGGAGCAAGTACTGAATTGGTGTGAAGAACAGGAAAACACTGTGACGGAAGCTCGGGCCCAAGCTGCTTTCGGCGTGGGCACGGCTAGTCCAGTGGATGACCTGAAGGACAAGAGCGCACAGATTTATTCTGTGTTGCAGAATCTACTCGAGGGAGAACCGTTCATGATTTTGAGGAATACAGAAAAGGCCAATGGACTTGAGGCCTGGCGACGTATCAATCGCCGATACGATCCCTCTACTGGTGCCAAGAAATCGGCACTCTTGAGGCACATCTTGAATCCAGGAAAATGCAGGCTTGAGGAACTCAGTGAGAGGATTGAAGGATGGATGGAACTCGTGAACCGCTACGAGAGCAGAAAGGACAGCGCAGGAAATAGACAGAGCATAGCTCAGGACATCAAGATGTCGATCTTGGAGTCCATGTGCCCTCCAGAGGTCGAAAGACACCTACAACTTAACAGAAGTCGTTTCTTGGACTTCGATGACATGCATGCCGAACTCGCCAGCTACCTTGAAACGCGAGTTGGAGTGAAGCTCAAAATTGAGTCACTTGGCAGCAAACCGAAAGGTGAAGATGACATGGACATTGGAGGATTTGGCAAAGGAAAAGGCAAGAAAGGTGGAAAGGGTTCCAAAGGTAAAGGCAAACATGGAGGAAAAGGCAAAGCGAAAGATAAAGGAAAAGGTAAGTCGAGTGGAAAACATGGAAAACATGGTGGCAATTCTGGCTCAAGCCTGTCCGTGGTTTGCTTCAACTGCGGAAAGGCTGGACATTACCAGAAGGATTGCAGGTCACCTCCCAACAACAGCAACAACAACAAAGGTAAAGGTAAAGGAGGAAAATCCAAAGGAAAAGGGAAACAAATCAGCAGTATGGAACAACAGGGTGAACATCAGGAACCTGAAAGAGAAGCCGAAACCGGCTATCTCGAGCTTGCCATGTTGGCTGCAGTCTCGGACGAGGAACCAGTACCAGGAGAAGTCGAAGTGCCAAATGTTGGATTGCCAGATGCAACTCGAGTAGAAGCAAGGAAAAGGTACCGAAGACTGTTGAGAGAAGGAGCTACGATGACATGGAGGGACATTCCGGTCACAAGGTACAGACAAAGACTTGCGGCATCACTTGAAGCTGCAAGCAAATATCGTGGATCGGTTGCCCAGTCGATGGCTCAGATGGTGTTCCGCCGAGAAGGACTCGAAGATGCCTGCAGTTCATGCGATGATCGTGCAGGGCCATCTACAAGTGCAGCAATGGACTATGCTGCAAGGTCTGCCCACGGAGTTGGGTCGGCTGAAACTGGCCAGGCAGCGCCGGAGATCCGAGAAGAAGATGAAGATACTGTGGATGATACCACAGATTCTGAAGCTGAAGATGAAGTCGAAGATGAAGCCGAGGCTGAGACCAAAGAACCAGAAGAGCCTGATGAAGATCCAGGATATGAAGCTGAAGATGACGAGGACGTCGAAGCTGTGATGGAAGGATACCTTGATGAAATGAAAGAGTATGACATGGATCAGGAAAGAGAGAACATCAGGAAGATCCTGAATGAAGCCAAGGAATTCCTCACGGCTGAAAAGGACGACAATGAGGTCCAGAGGCGATTGGAGTTGGAGAAGTTGGCAAAATCGCCGGAGAAGGATGAGAATGAAATGGAAGCAAAAGATGATGAGAAACCAGGCACAAAGGAAACGACCCTGCCTGATTCAGGCAGAGTTGTGACCCCGATGACTGGCATTCTCATGCATCGTACCATCGAAGGACTTCAAGTTGGCCGATTGCACTATGAGAAACGTAAGTTAGCCGAAATGATCGAAAATGCTGAAGATGAGGAAGAAGTTCAAAGACACGAGGAGCGCATCAAGGAAATTGAAGAGGAGTTGAAGCAGTTACGCAACTACATCTCAAAACAGGATAAGAGTACCAGAGAAAACCCTGTGAAGATGCTGACCAAAGAGAACCTGACGGATCAGCAGTGGCATGATGCGCGCTACTTCAGGGCTATCGCAGCAGGAGTTCCACACAACGAAGCATGGCGTAAGGAGAAAGCACGACGCCGAGCTATCATCCACCGACAGCAAGGTGTGGGTGAAAGAGCTAAAGTTCGAAAGGAACTACATGCGAAGTGGATCAAGGAGTATAGAACCAGAGCACTGAAAGAGGAGGAAAAGATACCCTTAGACACGGAACAGATCGGGTACCAAGGCATGGAGACCGAAGTGATCAAGGAAGGTGAGGAACCAGGAAGTTCAATGAAAGTTTCCAGTGGAATGTCAAGAACGGGATCCTATAAGGAAAAGAAGGTGTTCAGACCCCTCACCAAGGAAGAGTTTGAGTCATTCCGACAAGAGACAAGGGATGACGAACGAAAAGTGATGGAGAAAGGTCGAACCGAGATGAGAACCAAGAAAAAGACCAAAGGAAAGACAGTTGCGAAGAAGCAGAAGAGGAACAGAAAGAGAAAGGAAAGGAGACAGCGTACCACAGCCTGTCGAGCGTTGGCATGGGAAGGAGAATGCAAAAAGGATCCATGCCCGTTCTCTCATGACCAGGCTGTCATCGATGGATTGAAGAACCAACATTGCAGATTCTTCTTGCACGGTTCGTGCAGGTATGGATCGAAATGCAAGTTGCTCCACGACGACAAGGAGATGGAATTGGTACGTATGGAGAAGAAGACGAAACAGCTCATTTCTCAGCTCGAAATGCGACCACCACCAGCACCAAAGAAACGAAGAGCTGAGGAGCCAAAGGAAGAAGAGGTAAAGACTGAAGGAGAAGATGAGGCAATGTCAGAAAGACCTCATGAAGATGTTATGGATGATCCAGAAGAAGAGAGAGAGAGCCTAGCGTGACCACGGAGATCAAAGGACTTCGGGAGTTCGAGAATCGCACTGAGGATCAGATGTACATGAACGCACCATGGCGAAATCCGGGACTCTTCGAAAACGAAGGCAAAGGCGACAAAGGTCGCGGAAAGGGCAAGGCAAAGAGAGGAAAAAGGAAATCCGGCCGAGCTGCGTCAAGTGCTGCAAGGGTTGATGCAGATGATGATGATGATGATGCAGTAACCACTAGGACTGAAGATGAGATGGATGATGTTAGGATGACCAATGCTGAACGTAGAGCAGCAAATCCAGGGGACGCTGATGAAACCCATGGAATCATGAGTTGGGCGGATTTGAACTCGTTCGAATCGAAAGAGTTTGAACCAGAACTCCAGGGTTTGTACAAGCATGTGGTTGTCAATTTTGACACTGGAGCAGCGGTTTCAACCGTACCGCTGAAAGAGTTTGGAAGGTATGCATTCGGTGAAAAGCAGTCCACCCGCTACAAAACAGCCTCAGGTGAACTACTTTCTGACCATGG